CAATACCCCACAGAAAGCCCTCTTTGGGGGCCCTCAGGCAGTCACTTTTGCAGAGTAAAAGACATTTCTTTATCCAGGATATGGTTGGGAGGGTGAATTGATTTCTGCTCAGGTAGATACAGTTTTAAAGGAAACTGGTTTATGTTTGTCTTGGTCCAGACATGGTTCTTGCCACTCCCCATGATGGGAATGGTGGCAGGTTTCTCTTTCCTGCTCCATTCTGTCCCTCTCTGCAGGACAGCCCCGCCAGTTGCTTTGATTTAGGATGCAGGAGCTGCCCGGAATTCAGATATGATGTCCATGTGGATACACTGGGGGAGGACTTAGCAGACTTGGACTTGGCAGGTGCAGAGTGTAGGGGAGAGAAGTCAGCTATCTTTGAGAAACAGACACGTCAAGAGCTCTGTAAGCAGTGGCTCTATCAGTAGGCAGAACTGAGGCCCACTTATGGTCGTCTGGTATTAGTGAGGGAGGAATGGGGCAGGGGCAGACCTTGGAGTAGACAGATTACTTCGTGCGATATGAGTGGTGAAAGCTCTGGTATAAAAATACCTTATCTGCTGCCTTTCCCGGTGCCGGAGATTCTAATCGAGCCACTGCTTCTGCATGCCTGTGTGTGTGTGTGTGCCGTGTATCTCATGAAGTCTTGATCCCTCCCTTGTGAGGATTTTGGGGTGTCCTAGAATCCCACCTATCCAGGAGGGAGACTCCTTTAAGCCGATTCAGCACATGCCCTGAGCCAAAGGGTAGGGATTAGCAGGAAGGGATTTGGAAGAAGCCCTTGATGGAAGATGGAGTCCATAAAGAAAGGAAGAGCCTGAGGAGGAGGGCTTAAGAGAATCCCAGCCTAGGTCACTGTTTTCCCAGGGGAAGAGATTTAGTTGGGGGATTAAGGTCTTCTAGTAAGGCAAGCCCCTCTCTGACAATGGAATGTTCCAGGGCTTCATTGGCCTTCGGTCTTCAGGCCTTGGCTTTGACTTCATGTTTCTCCAATCAAGTGGAGCCCACTAATGTCATTTCCAGGAACTAGAAACCTGGTATCATCTTGGGTCCCTCCCATCTCCCTCAAGTCCATAGTGAGCCAGCCACTGAGTCCTGCAGGTTTTACTTCCTTAGAAATCACTGATTCTGCCCTGGCTGGGGTGGTTCAGTGGATTGAGTGCTGGCCTTCAAACTAAAAGATTGCTGGTTTGATTCCCAGTCAGGGCACATGTCTGGGTTGAGGGCCAGGTCCCCAGTAAGGGGCATGTGAGAGGCAACCGATGGATGTATCTCTCACACATGGGATGTTTTTCTCCTTCTCTTTCTCCTTCCTTTCCCCTCTCTCTAAAAATAAATAAACAAAATCTTTAAAAAATTATAATAATGAAAGAAATCACTAATTCTGCTTCTTAGCAGGTTTTCAGACCTCCAGCTCAGCCTCCCTCCAATCCATGGCCAGCCTGCTGTTGAGATGGGCTTTCTGAAAAGTCAGCCTCTTCATCTTCACCCCTAGCTAAAAATCCTCCCGTGTTGCCTGACTGCCACTCAGATAAAACTCCGCATTTCTTCCATTGACATTCCTTCTGGCCTCTCTAGTTTCTTCTGTCTGACTTGTCCCCCTGCAACTAACCACCTTCCTTCCAAAGGGATTTCCTGAAATCATGATGACCTATCTCATGTCCCCAGAGGCTTTTATAGATGCTGCCACCTCTGCAGGGACATCTTTCCCCCTACAGTCATTCAAGGCTCAGCTTAGGCACCACCTTTTCCAAGAAGAAAACCCTGGCCTTCCTGTCTGGTTGGTGTGCTCATTCAAGCCCACAGTGCCCCATGTTCCTCTGTCTCATGGCCCTGCATTGTCACTCTCTGCTTCCCCATCCCCCACCTTTCAAATATGAGTCATTGAAAAGTGGGGACTGTCTTAGGTCTACGTGTACCCCATGGTCCAGCAGACAGGAGGCATAGTGGTACAGAATAGGGAATCTACAAATACTGGCTGTATAACTTAGCTGCTCTTAGGTTATGCTTTGGGTCTCAAAGGTCTTTAACCCCTTGTCTCATATCTAAAAATCTACCCAACCAAAACCAAATTAAATGTGACATCTTTTTTTTTTTTATGCAGCTTTTCCCTCCTGCAATGTTAGGTGTTAGGGGTGCATGCTCTCTCCATTGAGGGAGCCACTTCTCCCCTGTTTAATAACAATTTATGAAAACCTGTTGATCATGAAACCTTGAAAACTCATAACAATGAATGTACTCCATGAACACTCAAAGATGCGTCCGCTGGGGTTGTGAGCACCGTGCCAGGAAAGGAGAGACTCGCTGGACAGGCTGCTCTTCCCTTCTTAGTCACATCGAGCAATTACTCTGCTTGCTTGTAGGGTGGGCCCACTGTCTTTACTCTCTCTTCCGATGGGTGGGAATTGTTTTCTGAGGATCATTTCCATGTCTGGTGGATTTTATTTTACCAGCTATGCCTAGCACAACACCTCCCTCCTAGAGAGCTTCCAATGAGCGAACTGAGCATGAATGAGCTGAGCTGGTGGGAAGCAGCAAACGTCGGTTTCCATTTGACTCCAGCCTGATGTACGAGGTTTCAGAGGTCTGGCCCGGGGAGCACCTCATGTACCCAGAACTTCATTTCATGGAGTAAAACCCGCTCCACCCACATCCCCAGGAAGAGAGAAAACCAAACTGCAGTTCCGATGCCCCCTCTTCAGCTCAGTGCCTAGAACATCCAAGGGCGGGTTCTGGATCTCGGGGTGCCAGCACGGCCAGCCGGCTGAGATGCCGTGGCTGGCAGTGCTGTGGATGAAGGGAAGGACTGAGGCTGAGCTTGTTCTTCTTTTTAAAATACCTACAGGACTTAAAACTCCTTCAACTCCCAGAGCTCGCTAGGAACTGCATCTATTTTGGACGGCTTTTGTGGCCCCCTCCCTATTTCAAACGAGCCCTGGCTGTTTGTGTGGTCTGCATCTCCTTCCCTTACTTCTCTCTCATATCCCAAGTGCTTTAAAAAGTCATCTGGAAAGGCCAACACTTGCCACAGAAGTCCCAAACGTCTCTGCATCTGGATGGGCAACTACTCATGACTTTGATTTGTGGTCTGCTGAAACAGTCTTCAGACTTTTTCAGATGTGAACAAATTTGGGTGCCCCTTGTGGTTCAGATTCTTGGGTCCTTGGTTGCACCCCAAATGTTCCTATGGCTAAGTGGCATTGAACACATACTTGAGCTGTGCCAGAAAGTTTTGCTAACTGATGTCAAGGTTGAATTTGAGAAGTCTGCACAAAATGGATTAACATGGTTGAGAAAGGCCTCACCCGTTCTTGCCCTGGTCTCTCTCCCATGCACACCCTAGAGCAATGCTGTAGAATAGAAACACAACAGGAACCACAGTTTTTAATTTCCTAGTAGTCACATTTAAACTGTTGAAAAGAGACAGGCGAAATTACTTTTAACATTTAAATTTAACCCAGTAAATAAAAAGGCTGTCATTTCAACATGTAATCAACATGAAAGTTAATGAGATACATTACATACTTTCGTACTCAGTCTAAGAAATCTGGCATGTGTTTCACACTTGCACCACTTCTCAATTCAGACTAGCCACGTTTCAAGTGCTCAGGAACCACATGGAACTCGTGGCTCTGTGTCAGACGGCATGGCTCTAGAATGTCCAGGTGGTGTGATGAAATGGCTATTCTGGGCCTGCCCTACCTTCCAATTAAGCTGCCTGACCAGCTATATCAAAGTAAACAAGATGAGTGTCTACAAATCTACAAATATTTATTTATTTATAAAAGATTTTATTTATCTTTAGAGGGGAAGGGAAGAAGAGAAGGAGAGAAGGAATGAAATATCAATGTATGGTTGCATCTTGTGGGTCCCCTGCTGGGAACTGGCCTGCAACCCAGGCATGTGCCCTGACTGGGAATTGAACCATGCGTGATCCTTTGGTTTGCAGGCCTGCTCTCAATCCACTGAGCTACACCAGCTAGGGCCAAAATATACACATATTTATAGAGCTTTAGAGATGTTATTTTAAAAGCATGTTGGTATCATAATTAGCCAGAGAATATTTTGGAGGTATAAGTAATTATATGACCCCTAGCTGAAGCAGTCTTGATTATTGAGGTTGGCCAAAAAGTGTGATTGTTTTCTCCTGTAAGATAGCTGTAGTAGTGCTTAGTTGTCTTTAACTTCATTCAAAACAATTTTGTTAGATGGTATTGTGATGGGTGTCATATCAGCTTGCATTAAAAATATGGTTATCCAAATTGGTAAATTTTTTGTAGCCATTTAATATTAAAGAGGAAAGAAAATATGCAACATTTTTGGCATATTGTGCTGTATCGTTTCAAGAAAGGCAAACATGCAACTGCAACGCAGAAAAGACTTGTGCAGCGTATGGAGAAGGTGCTGTGACCGATCGAACGCGTCGAAAGTGGTTCGGGAAGTTTGGAGCTGATTTCTTGCTGGATGATGCTCCATGGTGGGGTGGACAGTTGAAGTTGATAGCGATCAAACTGAGACAACAATTGAGAGCAATCAATGTTATACCACACAGGAAATAGCCAACATACTCAAAATATCCAAATCAATAAAGTTATTGGTGAAAATGAAAAATGTGTCTTATTTTATGGAAAAGATAAATGGACCTTTTGGCCAATCCAATATTATTTTGTTCTCAACAAAGTATTTTTTGTTCATTTTTCTTGGATTAATGAGTTTAAACACACTAAATCTAATAGACAATTTCACTTTCTTCTTTTTCATATTTTCAAAATTGTAATTAGGTGATACCAAATAAAGTAGATACACAGCTCTTAAGTTAGAATGCAAAATGAAAGCCCCTTACTGTTTTAAAGGGGCAAAAGCAAGAAAATACAACCTAAATGTATTCACTTTTTAAATAGTTGTTTGTGTGGTGAGTAAATGACATTTAAAGACATTTTTCAACAGAAAAGAGATTTATGAATGAGTTCATAGAAGATGTAAAAAATCAGTTTTTAATAAAAAATACAGAATTCTGCACAAATTTGCATGCCATCCTGGCACAGGGGCCATGCCAACCTCCTCTGTATCCTTTCAATGGCAGCGCATGCGCCACCGAAGCCAGCGTGACCATTTCATTTGGCTGATGTGTCATTTTGCTTAGATGCCCCACATTGTTTATGTCAACAGGAAAGAATTAAATGTATTTATAAAAAACATAATTAGCATATATTGAGAGCTTGGACACTTGACATGTGTTACCTCATTCCGTCCTGGAAAGAATCACCTGAACTAGGTTCTATGATTATTGCCATTTTTTGGATGAAGAAGCAATCAAATTGCTCAGTAAACTTGCCCAAGGTCACCCAGTTTACAAACAGTAAACTCAGGCAGGTGGGTTCCGCACTGCACACTTCTAACCGTATACTGCACTTTCTTGCACGATTCATGTAAAATTTACCATTCTCCAAAACTATTTAAGGTCCCTGTCTCCTTTTAAAATGCCCAAGATAAGCCTCTAGGCAGTCTGGCAAAACAAAATAAAGCACAAACAAAAAACATGCCTTTTGGGGAAGTGAAATCAGTGTATTTTAAGGATTATTTGAAAAATTTGGCTTCATTGCACATAGATCAGGCCATCTGTAAATTAAAAGGTAGAACCTGCTTTGCCATTAAAAAAAAAGAAGGGAAGAAAGAAAGAAATCTTGATCTAAGATACAAAGTTATTAAAAAAAGTTAAAGTAATAGTAGCTGTTATATGTCTTAAAATTGATAAAAGTGAATTTACAACATTATTTAAAAGTCATACCTGTGTTGGTAGAGTAAAAATGACATTCCATCAGCTTATAAAAGGCAAGGTACCTTACTTTTAAAAAATCCCATCTTTGCCCCGGGTAGGTAGCTAAGTTGGTTAGAGCATTGTCCCAAATGCCAAGGTTGTGGGTTCAATTCCTGGTCAGGACACATACAAGAATCAATCACATACAATAATGAAGATATCAATAAGTGGAACAACAAATAGATGTTCCTCTCTCTCTAAAACCAATCAATAAAAATTTAAACAAAACATCATCTTTAATTCATTATTTTTTAATTCAATCATTATAAAATGTACCTTAAATGTTCAAGTTTGGGATTAAAATTTCTCAAAGTAAAAACAGATCTGGTCTGCCATTTTCAAGTGTGCCAGGTATTTATGAATTATGCTGGTTTCTGCATCTGGGCCTTAATACAATAAGTGGCTATGTAGGCTTAAAGTACTGTGTATACTTTTGCTTTAACATATAATATAAATTTATTCCCCTTCTCTTATTAAATCATAAGCCTGGTTCGAGGCAGACTCGACATTTTCTGCTCACCTTATCGAACTGCAGATATTAAAATATGCTGTTGTTGATTCCCTGGCTGGTGTAGCTCAGTGAATTGAGCACAGGCTTGTGAAGCAAAGGGTTGCTGGTTCAATTCCCATTCGGGGCATGTGCCTGGGTTGCGGGCCGGGTCCCAAGTGGGGGATACATGAGGGGTGGCCACACATTGATGTTTCTCTCCCACTTTTTCCTTCCTGTCCCCTCTCTCTAAAAATAATAAAATATTTTTAAAAATGCTGTTGTTTTCCAATAGGAATTGCTGTAAGTTTAATATGTCAGAGAGGTTGATGGGAGTTCTGACTGATACTTCAAATTTATACTTAAAAAAAATGCTCATCCTAGGATATGCTCATTGATTTTAGAAAGAGGGGAAGGGAGGGAAAGAGGAGAGAAACATTGATGTGAGGGAGAAATCAACCTCATACTTTTTGCATCGGAATACAATGCTTGCTTTTTAATGTTGTCAAGACCCATCCCAGGCAAAGTACTAACTTTTGAACCAATCCTTTGACAAGTTAATAGGAAAGGGATTGTTCAAACTTTCATTTTAGAAAAGAGGATCACTTTAAATGGCAAGATGCTGTACAAAGCAATCTATAGAACTCGATTCTGCTATTAACTAGGTAGAATGAAGGGGTTAAAATATTTTTAAAAAAGATTTTTAATTTATTTTTAGAGAGAGGGGAAGGGAGGGAGAGAAACATCAATGCACAAGAGAAACATTGATTGGTTGCCTCTCACACATCCTTAACTGGGGCCCTGCCTGCAACCTAGGCATGTGCCCTGACTGGGAATTGCACCGGCGACCTTTGAGTTCGCAGGCCGGGACTCAATCCACTGGGCCACAGCAGCCAGGGCTGAAGCAGTTAAAATGGTGAAGTCTGACAAATATACTGATTCAGCCCTGTTCTACCCAGTAATGTATGGAGCTGAACTCTGAAAGTTTTGGAAGTTTAAAAAAAATTAAATTGTATTTAATGCCTTGAGAAGAGCGCTGAGAAAGCAAGTGAGAGGGCATAGCTTTGAAGAACTGCCCATTTGGCCTCTCCTCTTCCCTCTTCCCACCCCTCTCCCACTATTTTAGCTGTTTGACCCGATTAAACAACTTTGGGACGGTAGCCAGATTTCTGCATGCTAACGAGGCCCCTATTCAGGATTTAGTGCGATTTCATCCACCTCGAGCTTCCTAACTGCCCAGAGGAAGGCTGGCTTCACAAAAATCTCTCAATTTTTGTCAGATGTTCGCCAGCGAGGAGTTCACACTTGCTTGAAGCCGACGCAGACTCTGAACACCTCTGGACACATCAGATTATTCATTAGCAAATTCTTTTTGCCTTCTATCCAAGTATTGAAAGGTGACGCCAGAATTGCGTGTACTACTCACAGAAAGAGACTCTGGCAATACCCAGCCTAGGTCCTACAACTTCAGTCTAGTTACTAGCAGTAGTCTAACACATTTTTAGAATTTCCTTAAATCTCCCCTACTCCAGAGGCAGGTCTAAGAGCCAGATCCCACTCGACTCTCCAGTCTTCCTGAATCTGATCACTACTGAAGTTGCTGGTGTATGTGTGTAAAACAGAAGGAGTTGTGGTGGGGAACCGCGCGGAGTGACCACCATGCATTACGTAACGAAATCCCTGGCTACGGGAGGGAGCGGGCCTGACATTGAGACATTCCAGGGGGGAGGGGAGTCGCTGTCCTGGAGTCGCCAGGAACGGCGGCGGCAGTTCCAAGAAACTGAGAGAGAGAGAGAGGAAGGTGGCTGAGATAAAGAAAACACTTAGGGAATGAGAATGTTAAAAAGCCGAAGGACCAACAGCATTAGCAAACAGCTGGGCACGTGTAGTAATTTGTTAGACGAAACGGCAGCCTTCCAATTTTTGCACGGGAATAAGGGATTTGCCCTTTGGGGATTATAAACGTAATAGAAAAGCCAAAAGCTAATGAATGAAGTTCAACGGTTTGTTGAAAATACTTAAATATTTATGTCCGGAAGCGCAAACTGTCTGCATTTATTTAGAAAGTAGAAACTCCAAACTAGAACACTCTGCCGTGCGTCTCCACTGTCCTCAGTCCGAAAAAGAGCTGCTCGCGCAGTACTGCCCCTTTAAGACCTGCTCGCACTCGGGCTCTACAAAAGGGAGTGACCTCTGGGCTTTGACAGCTCCCCTAATAACTACCACCGCGAAGGCCCCGCCCACCAGGCGACCAGTCGCGTCGATTGGCCAGCGGGCCGGTATCCCGTGCTCTGATTGGCTCGCTGCTTCCCCTGAGCGAACCTTTAGAACTCTGAGACAGACAATATTCTGTTACATTGTAGCAAAATGGCGACTGTCATTCACAACCCCCTGAAAGCGTAAGTAAGACTAAAAAATGTACATATTCCGCGTGGTTTCAATATGAAAAAAAAGGCGCCTTCTGCGTGCCGAGCGCTGCCAATGCACTGCGCTTGCAGGCGCCTGCAGCCGCTGCGGGGCTTCTCTCTTTTCTTTCAGCTCTTACTTCTTCACCTTCTCTTTTTCCACACAACACGCAGAAATGTCAGGAGATGCAATTAACAAGAAGAAAATTGTTACGTTTGTGTTCTGCTTAATTGGCGGACGGAGAGAGAGAAGGGATACCGGCAGCGGAGCCTGGCGCTCGAGCGCTCTGCAGCTGGGGGTTCTTGGGCAGCTCGGGGACAGCACGGTCCCCGGAGCGCCCGGCTTCTCCGGGCGGCGAGCGCGGCGCTGGGGGCGGCCGAGCGGAGAGCGAGCGCCGGGCAGGGGCCGCCTGGGTGCACTTGGCTGAGCCTCGCACCTCCGGAGCCCGAGGCCCCCGCCCCGCGGCTCAGTCCGCCAGGGCGAGCGGACCGCCGCAGCTCCAGAGTTTGCAAGGAGCTCTTCTCCTTCCGATCGCTGGCGGGGATTTAGTTAGTTTGTGCAAACCTTCCGGAGTTGGGAGGACTGCAGGGGGAGCAGCGGGTCCCGGGAGCCCTGGGGTCCAGGTGGTTGCTCGGGGCTTTCCTGCCGGGGCACCCCCGGAGCGTGACGGCGCTCCGGGCGGTCGCCGGTGTGTCTGCGGGTGTGTTTGTGGGCGAAATGGCTACAGTAAATTAACGACGCAGGTTAACTTGGGGTTGATTTGGAGGCAGGGAAGCTGCAGGTCTCGTAAATGGTGTTCTCGCCTCCTCTGGGTGAAAAGCCCTGGCAGGCGAAGAGGCAGCTTGGAGCTCCCCGCCCCTGAGCAGGCAGCGTCTGCTCCCGGCCCGAGCGAGGGGCAGGTGCCTCTGGCTGCCGCTGGGAGACTTTGAGCGGACGCCCAGATCCGGGACGGAGGGGGGCGGGCTGCACGAGGACACGCGGGGGCCAGTCCCCGGGTCCAACAGCCAATTCCTGCCTGCTGCCTTCCTCCTCCTTTTCATCTTGGCTTCCTTCCTTCCTTCCTTCCAGTCCGTGGAACTGTTAAGCCGCCAAGTCCGCTCGCGATCGCGGAGCCGGGGGTGGCTTCGGAAAACTAGCGTCGCTCTGAAAGGGGTGCTATTGGCAGTGATGTTGGCAGAAGGGAGCTCTCTCCGGATCACGGCGCTACGTGGGCGGGAGCCCGCGCCAGGGGAATCGGGTCTTCCCAGTCGGCCCGGAAGCCGCGGGCGAGAGGAGGGGGCCTTGTGGGTGGGGGGCGCGATTCGTGCGGAATTCTCGCGGGCGCGTGGCATATACCTATCCCGGTTCTTTCAACTCCGCTCACCGTTGTCCGCACCCCCACCATCTCTTAGAGTTGAAATCCAGGTTTGCACCTGGAAGGAGGGACGGTTGCGGGGGGGCGGGGCGCGGTACGGAGATTCCTGTTGCGAAGGAACGCTAGGGGAGGATGGAATGCTTTTGCATCAGCTGTCTCCCTCTGGTCAGTAATAGGAAAAAGGGTAAGAACGTCCCAGGTCTCGGAGTTTTAAACCTATACATATGTATTAAAGCTGCTGTTAAGAGGACATTTGAAGCTGAGGCTGATGAGGAGCAGCAACCCGGGCATCAGTTCTCGCTCTGAACCGCTAATACACTGCACTTCAACGCCACAGCCTTTACCCAAGAAAGAAATTGTTTTATGGCAGAATAAATGGGCGTAACTTCGCCGCATCCTCGCTTTCCTCGTCGTTCGCGCTGCCACACCGCTGATGCTGTGGGGTTCTACCGAGCCCACAGATGACTTGCAGCTTACACGTTTCCAGCCGAAATCACATAATCAGGTTGATGCCACCTGGTAAACTCAAGTTAGAGAAATCTCACGTGTGCGCCAGGATTTCTTCCTACTGGGAAAGCGGTACCCTGGTTACCCAGGAGCCGGCTTACGCGCGGGCGGGCGCGGTGTCTCTACGCTCCAGGGTTCCCCTGCTCGCCCCGGCTTTTTGTTTTTGTTTTTAGACTGCAGAAGCGTACGTGTTTGAGAAGGATTTCTGTGTAGGGTTGGGTTAGAGGTGGGGGCAGGGACAGAAAGCGTTCTGGTTAGTGGAATTAGTTATAAATTTTTGTACTTGAACTTTGATTAGTAACAGTTACAATGTGATGTTTGTAGTTCTGTGGCTTCATACAGTCACACACCAGCCTACGCACAACACTCCTGCTGGCTTTTTCTAGGTGGGAGTCGAGTGGTCCTTTGTAATTAGCTGCGCCTTTTTTGCACCCGAACCCCTTTCGCCTGAGGGTAAGGGGGTGTAAACAATAACGCCGGCGACCCGAGTCCTCTGCGCCCTTAGCGCCCTCAGCGCCCAGGACGGTTTTTAAACTCCTATGGCGGGAGCACACGCGTTGTTATTGGGAGACCAACACCATCTGCCTTTATTTTTTAAAACAACTTGTTTAATAAAACATCTTATTTTTCATTTGTTTTTAAAAGTTGCTGGTCAGGAAACAATACACACGTGAATAAATTATGCATAGACTAAATTAGAACAAAGCGCAGAGACTCATCAAGCCGAAAGGATGGATGGATGGTGGCTGGGAGGAGGGGAGCAGGGAGTATGATTTGGAGAGCGATGTTTTCATTTTCATCCTCATGTGTCTCTCCCGACAATGAAACGGAGCCGAAAGACATGAGCATTTTCCCTGTGTGCGTTCTGAGTCTCTTCTCACTTAGAGAAAAAAACAAAAAAAAGCCAATCCCACTAACGCCCCCTACTGAAACTGGTTACACAGAGGTTTGGGGAAGAAAGCGGTGGTAGGTAAAGTCCTGAGACGAAAGATCAGGTTTCATGTAACACCTGTGCAGAGCCCTATTTACCCTCAGTGTGGACCGTTTCTCACTTATACTAGATTTTTGCACATAGCACATTCGATAATTCAATAGCTCAGGTAACTGGATGGCAGAATTTGAATCTCATTGCTTTGGGGTCTTTTTAGGGGCCCAAGCTCCCAGAGCCACCTTGCCTTAGCACTTTGGCTTTCTTTCTGCCTGTCTTTGATCTCCCCTCAACTCTCCTTCCTATTCCTCCTCCTTGTACCTTTCACCCCCTTCTCTCTGAAGTTGAGAGCCTGGCTTCTCTCTCTGTTGTTGCCTTTAACATCTTATTACTGCCCAACAGGGTGTTAGAGGCAGAAACAGGAGCTGCCTGGACTGATCAGATCACAAAGGGGACTTGGCAGGTGGTCACACAACCAAGCAGTCACATCTGGGCAGATAGAATTTAAAGCATCAAAGAACATGTATGAAGTGTAAATGGGTATTATGCAGTATTTTATTTAGCAGCTACACTGTCTGAACCTAGATGTGTGAGTCACTCATTTATTACACTTACAAGCAAGATAAAGGCCATGTAGTGAAGTAATTACACATGTAGGTAACATAAATATGGATTAGATAAAGGTCTGTGTGTCGCTCACATTACATATTGTGTTCCAGTTGCTGTCTATATACCTAGGAAACAATGCTTTTAACATAAATTGTAATCTTACTTGCTATTCTAGTTCAGGTAAACCGTGCTTCCCAAATCTGCTATCAATACTTTAAACAGCTTACTTTTATTAAGTTATCAAAACCCTGGTTAGTATGCACTTAACTGGGAATGTCTGCCACCTTCTGCCAGACTTGATTATGCACATATGAATCTATTATTATAACTGCCTGCTTAGAAAAGAATAACTTATTATTGTTTAATTATTCCATGTAAACCAACAGAGCTTTACCTCAAGTAACTATCTGTTTGTAAAGAATGCGACCAGTAAACTATTGTCTCATGCTTACAATTGTGAACATCCATAATTGTACTGAAAATTTTTCTTGTAAGGAGCTTCAGTTGCCTAGAGGCATTTGTTTATATCTGTTTAGTTATGAAGGACACAATTCTGGGAGAAGTAAATATACTTACTTAGCTGAGGTCAGTCAGCAGGTCATGTGTATAGATGGACCTCAGATCTTCATCTCTATACATTCTATGATCTGGATACATTGCATTCTAATCTAAAGTGGCTCTGTGCCTGTGAAAGTTGTGTAATTGTCAGCCACTTAGAAGCCAGACCTTGCTCTTGCTGTGGCAGCTTAGATATCAGAAACAAAAAGGTAGGGGGAACACATTCCTGGTTCTAATCTCTTAGCTCTTTGGGAATGAGAATAGGACGGAACATTGGGGTTGGGACTTTGAGAACTTGTAGCCTTTTATGGACATTACTTTAGCCCTAACAAAAAATGACCCTCAGGCATTTTAAGCCTACAGATGCCTAAGAACCACCTTCTCCATCTGCTTCCGGTTGCCACTGGAAAACAAGAAAAAGAAAAAGCCCTACATTCTCCAAACTTCATTAGCACACATTATTTTTTCAGCAGGATGAATGTCTGGTTTTGATGAGATACCCATAAAGGAGATTGATTTCTGCCAGAACGCAAGTGGAGGCATTGTCACAGGGTAAACCTGTTAGGAGTGGGGCCTGCAGACCACCTGGGAGACGGCCAGAGAGCACAGCGGAAGGCAGCCGCTCAGATCCATAAGTGGCTGAAATTCAGGGGCAGCTTGTCGGAGGAGACTTTTGTCTTCCTCTGTCTTTTTGGGGTTGTGCAGGTAGCTGGAATTTGGATACATCTGAAAACGATCATCTAAAGCTGTTTAAGTGCCATCTGCTCAGATCAGTGCAATAAATAGAATGTCACGGTCGGCGTGCTTTGTTTTGAGCAGGCACCAGAAAGGGAAAGGAAACTGAGGCTGATGTTTCAGTTTTTAAAGTGCAGCCACACTGGTGGCAGTGGGGGCTGGGTCATAAAAGGCACCAGAATCCAGGCCTGTTTATTATTCCAATCTCTTGCAAAGTACCTTGTGGCTTTTTGAGTGTACTGAAAGTCACCAGAAGACAGAAATGTAGCCAAATGTGGCAAGCCCCCTGCCAAAGAAATGCCACAACCACTGAAAAGAGTTTTTTGCCTGGGCAGGTTTCCCTGAAGGGGCCTGTGTAAAAGCATGACCCTAGTTTTAAGTAGTCTTTACATATGTAGATACTTCAATATCTACATATTTAAAGATGAAAGATAAAGTGGACTGTAGGTGAATGGATAAAACCTTTGTGTGGTCTGGAACTGAAAAGCTGATTGTTTAACACCCAGAGAGACTGATATTATGATCTATTGCAAGTTCCAAAGTTTTCTTTGGTTGTATGAGTGACTGGGGAGAGATGAGGTGCCGTGTTTTTGTCATTTGTTTTTCTTATTGGTCCGGTTACTAGTGTTTCACAGTCTGTCAAACCATATGGATGAATGGAGCTAGCATCATAAAACTGTCACCAGAGGAAGGTTTGTGAAGCCTGTGATTTGCATTAGTTTTAAAAGCAGTGGTTGGAAGGTGCTGGGCCGGGGTGGGGGGCAGGGGTGGGGTGGGGAAAGAGGGGCAGACTGTTGAGAATTTCTAGGTAGAGTGTTTGTGAATGGTAGTGTGTTGGGGGGATTAGGCTCAGAGCTTCTAATAGTGGGGTTCAAATAGCGCGCACTGAGTCCTCCACCACCAGGCCTCAGTTCTGAGCCTGGCGAACAATGATGGCACATGTCTAATCCTTCTGCAGTCTCTCCACCTTCCCTGAATCCAGAGACTGTGGTCATCTCAGGTTGCTGTGAAATGAGTGAGGTTTTTGCTGTTGTTGTTGGTATTACTCGCTTCGAAAACCTGCTGTTTTTATTAACTGTAATTGGAAGCTCCACTAGAAAAGGTTTTCCAGCCCCCAAACTTTCATCTGCCATCAGCGTGACCCTGTCTCAAACTCTGACCCTCTTCTGTGTGATTCGTTTCTCACCAGTGGCCAGTCTGTTGCAGTTATGATAATTTCAGAGTAATGGAAGAGAGAAGGCTCCGGGAAAGGAAGCCTTGAGCTCTGCTCCCAGCCCTACCACCAACTACCTATGTGATGGACACAAAAATTCTCTGAGCTGCATAGTTCTTGTGGTTAAGGTGAAGATAATATGTTAAATCAGAAACTTTGTGGCTCTTATGATCAGTTAGGACAGGAAGAGGACAGTCAGGCCAGAGCTCAAACTCTTTCTTGTTTTAAAAGTGTGGCTCTAAAGTGGCGTTGCTGAGGTGGGACACTCTTCCGTGTTCTCAGTCTCTTCGGGCCAGTCTTGCCGCTGCCACTCGGGGTTCTAGTCAACAGGCGAGGTGGTCTCCCTTCTCAGGGCCTGGGGCTGAGGACCAGGGGGTGTGGCCCATTTAGAACATGATTGTCTCTTCTGAACACTTTTCTTCTCATTAGCACCCCAACCAGAGAATGGAAAGAGGAAAGAGAAGTGGAAAGACTAATTGGCCTATTTTGCTATTTATAAGCACTCAGATAAAGTTTTGGGTTGTGTAATTACTGAGAATACCTGTCCTTTTCTCACTCCTTTCTTTAAATGTGTCGAGGGAGTAGGGAAACCCAGCAAAAGATTTTTCATCTCTAGACTTTATTTTTCCACATCTTCCTGGACCTTTCCTTTCTTCCGCCCTGGCACCCATCCCAATTCACATGGAAATAAAGTGCTTATTTCATTTCCACTTGGGCAGCTGCAGACACCCGGCTGCTCAGGGAGCTGACATGATGGACCTGTACTGATGTCTCACTGAGTTTCCTCTAGAGTACCCCCGAGTTACCGCTGAGGAAGTGGAGGTGACTAGCAGACCCCCACAGAAGCTGGTGTACCCGGGTGGGTATCAGCAGGTATCAGGAGCGTCTTGATTGGGATTCACTGCTTCTCCTTCCTTGATATGCCTCTGGGACATCCCAGATTCTTCTGGGGCTTTCCTTTGGTTGAAACTTCTCTATAGGCCTAAGGGATGAAGAGGGGGTTGCAAAATAACATCAGAAAAATTCACGGAAGCCTAACTTTGTGAGACTTTGGCCAAATGAAAGACAAAACAAAGTGGTTACCTTGAACTCCACCAGACCGAGACAGCCCCTTAGTTTTTTTCCTCTAATTGCAGTAAAATATACATAACATAATCTAACGCTGATGACATGTACCATTTTAATGATTTTTAAGTGTATAATTTAGTGGCATTAAGTACATTCATAATGTTGTACAACCATTGATACTGTCCAATTCCAGAATTAAAAAAGAAAGATTTTCATTTATTTTCAGAAAGAGGGGAAAGGAAGGAGAAAGAAAGGGAGGGAAATATCAATGTGTGGTTGCCTCTCACATGGGCCCCCAGTAGGGACCTGGCCTGCAACCCAAGCATGTGCTCTGACTGGGAATCGAACCAGCGACCCTTTGGTTTGCAGTCTGGCACTCAATCCATTGAGCTACACCAGCCAAGGCCAATTCCAGAATTTTAAAAATCATTCTAAACAGAGCCTTCCCCACTTGTAGTCCCTGGTCACCACCATTATAGTTTCTATCTTTATAAATTTGTCTAAGCACCTCATACTCATATAAGCAGAATCATACAATATTTGCCCTTTCGTGACTGGTTCATTTCACTTACATAATGTTCCCAAAGTTCATCTATATTAGAGCATGTGTCAGAATTCTTTTCCTTTTTATGGCTGAATAATATTCCACCATATATGTTACTACATTTTATTGATTCATTCAATGATGGATACAGGTTATTTTGCTATTGTGAATAATGTAGTTATGAATATGGGTATATAAGTAGCTGTTTGAGTCCCTGCTTTTAGTTCTTTTGGGTATATGTCTAGATCTCCTTCATTTTTAGACTTTTAAAAAAGTCTACTTAGTAGTCCTCACTACATTTCTAGATACTACAGGCAACCCCACCTTATAAATGTAGAGAAAAATACTGTCATAGAATTCAACTAATTTATTCCCTGCCTTCTGTGGGAATACCATTATTTTGGGGGGAGAATGCCCTGGGAACCCAGGGAGTCACTTCTCTCATCCCCAGTCACAGAGATGGCCTTCCCATTGTCCCCTCCCTCCCCTGACATCTGGAACTCAGTGGGGACCAGGGTCTGGGGTTGGAGAGGTTGCAGGAGTTTAGCAGTCCGAGTTACCTGCTGAGTCTTGGAGTGAAGGTCTCCTAGGCAGAGAGGTTTCATCAGGCGACAGGGAGTTGAGGGAGCACCTGGGATGACTGGACAGGTTGAAAGTCAAGAGCTAGCAAATCAGGCTTTTCTTCTTACACAGGGGGAAGCGCTTGAGTCTTCTCTCTCCTCCTCCCCCTACACCCAGCCCTGCTGACCCTCAGGAGCCCAAATGAAATAATGGATGTGAAAACATTTCCGAAGGTGTAAAGCCAAATGTAAGGTGTTACTAGAACTACAGTTTCCTGTAGCTGACGGAGACCTTCTCAGAGAGTGAACAATAATACCTCATATATTAAACATTATTTTAATGTATTAAAACTGAAATAAGTGAAAGGAATCTGGCATTACATATCATGTGCAATCATCGTTTCTCAGGAAGTGCAAAGCCTTACTCATCCAGCTGTGCGTAAATAGCCCTGGGATCACAGTGGGATTTTCTCATTGTCTGGGTTTGAAATGGGTGAGACTATGATGAGCTGGAGGGAAGCCTCGTTTTATTTCCCATTGGCTGCCCTGGACTGAGTTCCCCCTCAAAATCTGGGGAAACAGAATCCTGAAGGGCACAGGAGCCCTCTTCTGGAACTTGAACTTGGCCACCATCCAGGCTCCTCCTATCATTAAGAGGATTCCTAGGAGAGGAAAGGGGTGAAGGTGGGGCTGCAGCTTCAATCTGCTAGTGAGCAAGGAGGTTGTGCTGTTGACACAGGAGATCAGCAACAAGAATTGATTCTTTATACAAAGTAGATAATGGAGAGCATCCTGATTGGGGGCGGGGTGGGGGAAACAACGGTCAAACCAGAATTAGAGTTAGATCTTGGTTTGCAGCCTTGAAAATGCTTCGGATTCAAGCTTGCCGCAAAACTCACAACATTTCCTTTACTTTGTAAAACAAATTAAGTTAAATGTCATTCCAACTCCCATTCTCCTCGACAAACAACTCTTTACACGTCTTTGTTTGCTGCCCGTTGAGCTCTGCTGGCGCTGTCCCACCCTCTCTGGAGTTCCGTCCTCCTGTCCTGCGCAACGCTGATTGCCAGGCTGCCCCTCAGAACTAAACCCACGGTAGCCCCCCTCCTTTCATCTAGGAGCTCCCACTCCAAGGAAGCCCTCTGGTCGGCCTGTTTTTCCTTCCAGACCCGTTCTGTGGCAGGGCAAACGTCAGAGCCTGTAAACCAGGAGCCCGACTATCCATCCACTAGGCTTCTAGGGAAAGCACTGTCAGCTGGGGAGGGCGGCGGGGGCGGCGGTGCGGAGAGGGGAGGCGATGTGGTGCTGGGGGTGGGGGAGGCACGGTGGATGGGGTAGCGGGAGGGGAGAGAATATATTCTCTCCTGCTAATTATTTTCCCTGAGGACTTAGCCATTGCAGAACCATCTATTATCGTGGGAGCGCTCTATGG